TCTCCTGCCTCAGCCTCCGAAGTAGCTGGGATTATACATGTGCCACACGCCCGGCTAATTTGTATTTTCAGTAGAGAGAGAGGTTCTCTATGTTGGCCAGGCTGGTCTTGAACTCCTGACCTCAGGTGATCGCCTGCCTTGGCCTCCCAAGGTGCTGGATTACAGGTGTGAGCCATCTGCGGCCCGCCCTCTGTTGCTCCCTTTTATTCATCCCTCACTCCCATGTCCTGAACTCCTGGCAACCTCTGATCTTTTTACTGTTTTTATAGTTTTGCCTGTTTCAGAATGGCCTAAAGTTGGAATCATAAAGCATGTAAGCCTTTTCAGATTGGCTTCTTTCACTTAGCAACATGCGGTTAAAGTTCTTCCATGTCTTTTTGTGACTTTGATAAGCTCATCTTTTTTTTTTTTTCTTTTAAGATGGAGACTTCTCGTCGGGCCCAGGCTGGGAAGGCAGTGGTGATCTCAGCTCACCGCAACCTCTGGCTCCCAGATTCAAGCAATTCTCCTGCCTCTGCCTCCCGAGTAGCTGGGAATACAGGTGTGTGCCATCACATCTGGCTGATTTTTTTTTTTGAGACAGAGTTTCACTCTGTTGCCCAGGCTGGAGTACAATGTCGTGATCTTGGCTCACCTCAACCTCTGCCTCCCGGATTCTCCTGCCTCAGCTTCCCGAGTAGGCGGGATTATAGGCATGTGCCACTATGCCCAGCTAATTTTTGTATTTTTAGTAGAGTTGGCGTTTCACCATGTTGGCCAAGCTGGTCTCGAACTTCTGACCTCAGGTGATCTGCCCGCCTCGGCCTCCCAAAGTGCTGGGATTATAGGCATGAGCCACCACACCGGGCCCGCACCCGGCTAATTTTTGTATTTTTAGTAGAGACAGGGTTTCACTATGTTGGCTGGGCTGTTCTCAAACTCTTGACCTTATGTGATCCGCCCGCCTTGGCCTCCCAAAGTGCTGGGATTATAGGCGTGAGCCACTGCACCCAGCCAGCTCATCTCTTTTTATTGCACACAATTTATTGTATTTTCTGTGGCTAGGCATGGTGACCTTTTAAAAAATTTTTGGTTAAAATATACATAAAATTTATCATGTACCCATTTCTTTTTTTGAAACACAGTCTCACTCCATTGCCCAGGCTGGAGTGCAGTGGTGCAATCACAGTTCACTGCAGCCTCAAATTTCCAGGCTAAGGTGATTCTTCTGCCTCAGCCTCTGGAGTAGCTGGGACCACAGGTGTGCACCACCGTATCTGCCTAATTTTTTGTATTTTTTGTAGACATGGGGGTCTTGCCATGCAGCTCAGTCTGGTCTCAAACTCCTGGGATCAAGCGATTTTCCTGCTGAGATTGCAAGTGTGAGCCATGGTAACCAAGTAGTAACTCTATGTTTAAATTTTAAGGCCCTGTCAAGCATTCTCCACAGTGGCTGCACCGTTTTACACTCCCATCAGCAATGCACAAGGGTTACAATTTCTCTAAATCCACACCAACACTTACTAGTTTTTTCTTTTTAATAGCCATCTTAATTGGTATGAGGTAGTATCTCATTGTGGTTTTGATTTACACTTCTTTTCTTTTTTTGAGATGGAGTCTCGCTCTGTTGCCCAGAATGAAGTGCAGTGGCACAATCTTGGCTCACTGCAACTTCTGCGCCTCTGGTTCAAGTGATTTTCCTGCCTCAGCCTCCCGAATAGCTGGGACTACAGGTGCACGCCGCCATGCCAAGCTAATTTTTGTATTTTTAGTAGAGATGGGGCTTCACTACGTTGGCCAGGC